AAGCCCTCAGAGCCCAGAACAAAGCCGTATCTATCAAACCTCTCTGGATTATCAGGAAGTTTCTGTCTCCCTCCTCCTGCTCTCACTCTGGTCAGATCTTCCAACCCTGTCTCCTAGAAATTACGTTCCCACAAAACTAAACTGCATTCTCAAATACGTTTCGCAAGAAACGTATTTCCTTCCACGTTACGTTTGTTATGAACATATCTTAAATACGTTTATTTTCTACATATCTTCTAGAAACCTATTTTCTCCCACATGACGTTTGTTATGAACGTATCTCAAATACGTTTGCTTTCTACCTATATTTGCCATTTATTTTCTAGCTTATAATAATGATAATAGTAATTTATTAATATCATTTTAGAGCAAACTTATTTTCGCGCTGGCTGGCGGCTGACTTTTCAGTTGACCAAATCCGTTATTATGCTGGTTAATGGTTAATAATCACAATATTGTTTGTAGTCGTTTCATACAGCATTCTCAATTACGTTTAACAAGAAACGTATTTTGTCCCACGTTACGTTTGTTCTGAACATATCTTAAATACGTTTGCTTTCTACCTATCTTTGACATTTATTTTCTAGCTTATAATAATGATAATAGTAATTTATTAATATCATTTTAGAGCACACATTTGAAATCGACGATCGGGCTTGATATCCTATGGTTAAATTAAAATCAGTAGGCGAGGCTGTAATTTCGCCAGCTGCGAGGCAGAAAATAATAGTTTTAACATGCCAAAAAGCTGCTGTGTCGTTTATTGCACCTCAAACATTAAAACAAATCCAGAGTTACGTGTTTCTGTACTTCCTCTAAGAAGAAAGGACAGTATACAACAGAAGAGCTCTGTGGCTTCAGGCTTGATCGCCGTTCAAATGACAGCTGGTTTCCCCAAAAGTGAGCAGGGCTGTAAAGTGACGTAGGAAAGATCATCAGCTCGCTGATTGGATGTTTTAGCCGCAATGCACGTCGGGATATGGTGTTAATGCGATATGAAATCCGAAAAAAGAATCAGAGTTTAGGATGGCCGAAGACACTACACTACCCATAATCCCCAGCTATCGTTTGGGACTACAGTCCTGTTGACAAACCCCGTGATTAATCTTCAAACTCTGGGATTGGATGTTGGAGTGGCAGTGCGTCAAGGTTACGCCGAGCGCCAAACAGCTCTTTGAAATGGAACGAAACCACGGCAGACTTTCCAAAACTGGACTCGAACGCCCCCCCCAGAACTACAAATGCTGGCTATTGTGTTTCGCAACATGTTCTATAGCGTCTCTACTGGGAATTGTAGTTTTAAAAGACGTTTTCGTTTTTCCCAAAATTAGAAGTTGACAGTATTAAACTGTGTACAGCCCTGGAGGTTTAGGGGATAGGAAACAAATTGGTGTGTACAAATGTAAAACATGTAATTAATAAATGGGTGAAAATCGCTTGTGTCCATAATGGGAAGCATTAATATATACCCACATGCCAGCTCATTGTTACTTTGGAATTCTACTCCACTACAATTCAGAGGTTAACCTGGTATTTTTACTCCACTACATTTATTTTAGTTACTTTGCAGATTCTGATTAATGATGTGAAATATAAACAACCCTTAAAGCAGACTTTAGTTACACCTGAGTAAAATTCAGGGAAAGGTGATTGTCAAGTGCCAACAATCAGGAGAGATATTAGTTGGTGCTTGAGAAGACTAAACATTTATCTGCAGATCTCTATAAAGTATATTCATTACTCGTTATTCTCTACTAATAGTTAATTAAAAACTGTATATAATAGCTATTTTGCACATCCCTTTCAAGATTTTCTAAGGTGTATTGACATATCATATACACCACGATGTTGAAGTTATGCAATTAATGAAAAACTTGGGTCACAGGTTCCTCAACAGTGCATTACAAGACATCTATCAATATGTGTGTATTCCTCCACCATTAAACTCAAATTCTGCACATGTCTTATACTATCTACATACATAAGAGTATAATTAATATATATATAATATCAGTTAAAATAAGTGCTTCAACACAGTTAACATTGCAGGAAAGCAATATATTAGACGCTAAGTACTTTGTCAGGCTTAATATTTATCTGTAGATAGATACCCCCAAAGCTTTTTTCTTATTTGAAAGAAAACCTAAAGTATTGTTTAATGTGTTAATAAAGGTTAATTAGTTTGTCTGTTTTGCACATCCTCATATTAATATCTTTGTACATCAGGCACTAAACTGTTTTATTGTAGAGATCACTTACAGTATCTTCTTGATTTTTTATATTCTATATTTCTATCATTGACCTTCTACTTTCCCCCTATGAAAGTATGTACTCTTAATATTTTATTCATCAAATAACATTATTCAACAAAAATAACATTATTCAACAAAAATGATTAAATAACGTGTTTTAACCACTAGGCGGTGCACACAAGGTACACACAGTATAATAATAATAACTTTGTATTATTAGTGTAGGACACTTATGTATGTATAACATCTGAAGATGTGTAGTTTTATTCATGTTTTTACATAATTGTACAGGATATTGCTATATTATTTCTCATGTTTACTTCTACACATTAATATCTGATTTGTAAAACATCACAGACAGAAAGGTATATCCGTCATTTAATGGTAAGCTATTGAAATTGTGATTCCATAGATGTGTCTCCCATCACCCAAATCCCCTGACTATTCTCTCAACTCAGTATTTACATTCTTATATTCAAAGAAAATCAGTAATATCTTTAAAAACTACAAGTCCTTTTCTATCAGCTGTGCACCGTTATGGTGTAAATATAACCTATCTACCAATTGGATCAAATATAAAAGTCAGCCGTATTAGTATTGATACTGCAAGGAGACGTATTTTGTGAAAAGAAATGTAAGATGTTGTTTAATTGTTGATATATTTATGATCCACGACACGTATTCAGTTTCGGCGGCAGTTCTTCCAGAACTTCAGTCCAGAAGTCTTCTCATCAGGGCTCTATAAATAAAGAACTATGGCAGATGTGTAATATTTAATGTAGCCGAACCGTGTATTACAATGCCGTTATGTGATGACTTTCAAAGAGAAAAGCAAGAACACTCAGAATAAAGTATTATTATTATTTTTTTTAATGTTTTCGGATTTCACATCGCATAAACACCATATCCCAACGTGCATTGCGGCTAAAACATCCAATCAGCGAGCTGAGGATCTTTCCTACGTCTGTTTCCGGTATTGTTCCTGTAATGAGAGTTCACATTTATGCTACATTGAAGGGTGGAATTGACTACACATCTTCAGAAACATAATTTGCTTCAGATATATACTGTAACTCATAGCAATATTGTAACCATTAAGAAAAGCCAACTGCATTAAAAACCCAGTTAACAAACACAAGGTAAAGTATTTTTCCTTCAGTAATGAAGATGTAATTCCAATGTAGACACACCTGGGGTCGCTGTTCAGTCTGTTACGCTGAGCCATGCATTGTCTGGAACGTAAAAGGGACGAAGAAGACAAAGTGAAGTGACGTACTTCCGGTTCAATGTGAAAACATTCCCAGTTAAACCATAGATATATATAAAAACATATGTTTATATATATCTATGAGTTAAACAACATAAACAAATCGCTTAATAAAAAGATAAAACACTGGCATGTAATTTACGTTTGGATTAAATAGAATGGTTTTGAATAATAGATGAGAGTAAAATCTACGTCACAGCCTCACCCACTTTTGGGGAAACCAACGCTGTCATTTGAACGGCGATCAAGCCTGAAGCCACAGAGCTCTTCTGCTGTCCTTAGAGGAAGTTTGAGGTGTTTGAGGTGCAATAAACGACACAGCAGCTTTTTGGCATGTTAAAACTCTGCCTCGCAGCTGGCGAAATTACAGCCTCGCCTACTGATTTTAATTTAACCATAGGATATCAAGCCCGATCGTCGATTACAAATGTGTGCTCTAAAATGATATTAATAAATTACTATTATCATTATTATAAGCTAGAAAATAAATGTCAAAGATAGGTAGAAAGCAAACGTATTTAAGATATGTTCAGAACAAACGTAACGTGGGACAAAATTAAACGTAATTGAGAATGCTGTATGAAACGACTACAAACAATATTTTGATTATTAACCATTAACCAGCATAATAACGGATTTGGTCAACTGAAAAGTCAGCCGCCAGCCAGCGCGAAAATAAGTTTGCTCTAAAATTATATTAATAAATGACTATTATCATTATTATAAGCTAGAAAAGAAATGGCAAATATAGGTAGAAAGCAAACGTATTTAAGATACGTTCATAACAAACGTCATGTGGGAGAAAATAGGTTTCTAGAAGATATGTAGAAAATAAACGTATTTAAGATATGTTCATAACAAACGTAACGTGGAAGGAAATACGTTTCTTGCAAAACGTATTTGAGAATGCAGTTTAGTTTTGTGGGAACGTAATTTCTAGGAGACAGGGTTGGATCTTCAGACAGGATGAGGTTTGGACGAGCAGTGTTTGGGTCCAGGATGAGAGGAGAGTAGGACACCATGTCCTTCATCTTGCTCCAGATGTTGAAGCTGAGGTTGCCCAGGTGTTTGGCCTGGTCTATCAGAGCTCCTGAGGGCAGCTGTGGATCCTCCAGCAGGGGGCGCTGCAGCCTCTCCACTGCAGCCTTGTAGTTGTGCAGGAAGGAGACGTCTTCAGCTCTCAGCTCCTTCTCTGTGGCTCTGACTGTGTGTGAAAGAGCTGCTATCTCTCTGCTCACAGCCTCCATCTTCTCCTCCATCATCTTCCTCTTCTGCTCATCTTCCTCCCTCAGTGCAGCCATCCTGGCCTCCTCTTCTAGAAACTGGTGAAGCTTCTTAAACTGCTCCTTGATCTGCGTCTCTGTGTGTTGAGCCTGGACCTTCATGTGTCCTGCTGTTTGATCAAACTTCACTTTAACTTCTTCAAAGAGCTTCAGTTTCTCCTGAAAGGGCTGCAGAGACTTCTGGAGCTCCTCTCTGAGATCCTGAGCAGCTTCATCGATGGGTCTGAATCTGTGGTTGGTGTGTGTTTTTGAATCTCTGCAGACGACACACACTGGCTGCTGATGGTCCAGACAGAAGAGTCTGAGTTTCTCAGAGTGCAGACTGCAGAGAGCCTCTTCCTCTAACTTGGACGCCATGTTGTCACTGTTTCCTGGGCTGCGTTTCACTTCTCTTATTTTTCATTTCCTCGCTGTCACTACCCGATTGGTCCACCTGCCCGATCTGTACTGCGCATGTGCGAGATGGTCCGCCATATTGGACAACTACATACGGCAACTCTACTAGGACACTTGACACAGTGGCTTTTGGCAAAGCACACAAAGAAAACTCAGAAAACCGAGAGAGATGAGTTATTGTTATTACAACGTGACTTCACTATTATTTAACAACTCTTTTATTGGGTTCTTTTATTTGGGGTTAAGTACATTGTCAGAATAAGTGAGAAATGGATGTAACTTCTGTTAGACATTTTTGCATACATTCACAGTAAATATTTATTCAGTATGATAGCTGTCTAACAGAAGTTAAATCCATTTCTCACTTATTCTGACAATGTACTTAAACCCAAATAAAACAACCCAATAAAAAGAGTTGTTAAATAATAGTGAAGTCACGTTGTAATAACAATAACTCATCTCTCTCGGTTCTTTTTCTGCTTTGCCAAAAGCCACTGTGTCAAGTGTCCTAGTAGAGTTGCCGTATGTAGTTGTCAAATATGGCGGACCATCTCGCACATCAGCACTGCAGATAGGGCAGGGCCGCAGATCGGGTAGTGACAGGCCCAACCACACTTTCAAGTTCCTCTTCAAGTAATATGTCCATGGGAGGAGGAGGAGGAGGAGGAGGAGGAGGAGGAGGAGGAGGAATCATGTTATGCAGACAGTATCTTTTTTTAGAAAATTAACTCATCTATGTCATTTGGAACTATTTGGTCAAATGTATTGTAAAACATTTTTATTTTTAATTACAAAAAATACTGCAAATAATGCAATACATTATAATCACAACAACATCGACAAATATATTACAATAGGATATCTAATATAAGTTATATATATATATATATCAATCGACAGTGTAAACATAATTATGTAAATAACCCAATTTGTGTTCTGTGAAACGGAAAAGGATATTACATTGTTTTTGTTACTTTCGTTGCAGTGTCTTAAATGTAATTTAGGTTAACTTCCTGTTTTATTTAGATGCTTTTATTTTGAAGTTGTTGCTATGGAAACAACATGACGGAGAAAAAAGTAATATCTTCTACATATAATAACGGACAAAGTAAAGAATGAAGTGTATGTTTAAATGTTAGCACCCCCCGAAGAGGCTCAAGCTCTTACGTTGAGTTTCAATTCATTCGGAATTTGGCCGTGTAAAATGTCCTCTTGGGTTGCCGTACAGCCAATGCGTGACGTCATTGGTAAGCGTAACGGACCCCGAACACATCTGGTAGGCCGAACACATATGGTACCTACACCGGTGTTGTGCCGTAGGTGGAAGGCTTGCCGTAGATTGAAGCCCTGTTCGCAAAGGTGACGTCATCGCCTGTATTGAGCGTTCGCCTAGTTTTCTAAGCTTTTCTCTCTCTTTTGAATGATATATTTCCCATCAGATTAAACAGCAAACGGCTGAATAAATAATGTGCATACAATTGCGAGGTGGCTCGTTTTAAGGACACAATCTTCGTATTGGAACAAACTTCCGTTTTTAAGTGTAGTTTGCAACCCCCCCTATATCTTTGTCCAGGATAGTCACAACGTCACCAAAATCACACTGGTGTTGGCTGTTCCCCTGTAGTTTGTGCTCACAAAAGCATTTTACTCTTGGCCCAGCAGGTACAAAACTAAAGAGGGGCTTCCATATCCGGCAGAGCAGGTGTTGTAGCTGCCGGATTTGGAAGCCCTTCTTTAGCGGGAAGGTAGCTTACGTAGGACAAAGCAAATAAATACGCACCGACACTTTCCGATTCATAAAAGACTGCGTACCGGAGCAGGACTTGCGTACGGCACATCCTACACCGGTTTCCCCGCCTAAATCACAATCAACTCGAAATGCGGCGCAGCTTTTGCGGGCTTCACGTAACGCCCATATTTGCCTATAAATAGTCAAAGAAACGCCCATTCATTCATTCATTTTGACTGACTGCATGAAGAAGATCGCAGGAAATTACGTCCGAACAGCTAAAAAAGACATCTCACACCGTGTCAGATTTTGGTTATTTTGGGGAGGTCGAGATAAATCATATTGTTTGGTGGATGCAGTTTGAACCAGAGTAGCAGCATGGAGGTCGGATCGTCACCAACATAAATAAATAAGTGGTCCGAAAAAAGTTAATGACAAAAAAAATACACATAGCCTTCCTCAGGCAGTGTGTTTGTACCGGGGACAGGAGACACCCCCTTGATGAGAAACTGTAAGAAATGATCGGGGAATCCCTCCGGAGTGGAGTCATGACGACTGGATCTGAATTATTTTGTTGTATTTGGTGGTTTGTGTTCCAGCTGTCGAGCTATGGGATTAGTTTTGTTTCATAAAGATAAAGCAACACTTTCTCAGAATAAAGCAAAACTATGAGTTTAAAAGAAGAAAAAAACTGAGTCAAGTTAAATAAAATAAATTTCAAAAATAAAACTCAAATCATTTGTGTAATCATGTAAACCATAAGTATTTTTTCTTTGTTTTAACATAGGTTTTTGTTTGCAGTTCTTGTTTCTTCTTTCTCAATGATCAGACTTTTGGTCTCGCTGCAGGTCTTCTCTTTTGCGCTCCCTCATTTTTTGTTTTCGATTTTGACACAAACGTCCCAGGTGGGCGGGACTTTCAGGGGTGCGTCCCCATTGGCTACTCAGTTTTTGAGTGACAGCCCACTACACCACAGATCATACAGTGCAACTCATGCAGCAAGCTCCGGAGTCCACTCGGCCTCGTTAGTGTTGGCGTCTCCTGGGGAGTTTTCATGAACATATCGGACTCATCTTATGGATTGCTGTGCATTAGACTTGTGTTGTGTAGTTTATACTTTATTCCAACTTTAAATATTTTTAATACCTGAACACACTGCTGCTGTAAAATAATTTCCCAATTTGGGATTGATAAAGTGTTGTCTATTTATTTATTTATTTTATAGATTAAAAAAACACATCTATGTATTTTCAAGCTAAAGGTGATACACAATATAAACTGTATACTGTTATTTTTTCAAAGACATGTTACATTTCAAAAGCATATATTGCTATGTTTCGGACAAACAATTAAAGGTAGGGTAGGTAAGTTTGAGAAACCGGCTCGAGATACACTTTTTGTTATATTCCATGGAATGCTCTCAACATCCCGAAAGCAATGAATATTTTAAGTGCTTTGACAAAAAATCCATAAAAAAATGTCATCTGTGGAAGCCGTAGTTCTGTAAAAAGCATGACCAATCATTTTAGCCCGGCTAAAATAACTGGATGGCCTACCTTTCTGTCAGCCTTCCATCTGTGCACAAACTTATCTCGTGCCCTCATTGGTCATGTGCGCGTTCGTGTGTGTTGGAGGAGGGGCTCTATAAGGAAGTGGCAGATTTTCTCCGGTTGTGTATTTTCAAATTCTAGCGATCTCGAGCTGGTTTCTCAAACTTACCTACCCTACCTTTAAAGACTGCTTTAATTGAACAAATTCTACGATATAAAAGTGGCAGATTTGCTTTATTAAACAGACCAGACCTAGGCTGCATACCAACACAATTAGGAACATGCTCACATCTTACTATGTTGGTCTGAAGAGCTGAAGCATTCATACACAATGGATACAAACTGTGTTGTCTCATTCTATATCCTGTGAGAAAATGATATACATTTAGCATTAAAAATGTGACATACTATTCCTGAGGAAGATCTGAATAATCAACAGATTTGAATGGAATCTCTAACATTTTCATGTAGAATAAAGACAAAAGAGTGATTATACAAATTAAATGTATTGAAATTTGAACCAGAAGAAGAAGTCTCAAAGAATGTTTTAAATAAAAGGACATAAAACAAAAAGGTGAATAATAATACAATCTATTAAATGTATATGTAAATACATTTGTTCAGCTTAGACAGGGCTGGGAGGGTTACTTTAAAATGTATTCTGTTACAAGTACTAGTTAAGATGAGATTTACTTTATTTATCCTAATTTTCGTCACAGCAGCATATAAACAAGGCATTGGACATAATGTGGAAATCAAAACAATTGTAGAAAATAAACTCACACATACATTAAATATAAATATCTCAAAATTGAACTAAACTCAAAAGTAAGATACATCTTAACAGTGAAAGATATATATCTGTCAAGTATACACTATGAAGGGACAAATTACTGCTAGCAACATTTAAAAGTAGGATATTATTTACATTAATTGTGCAAGAAATAGCATGCTTAATTAAATATAAATGTACAGTGTGAAGACAATATATACAGAACAGGTTTTAAAGGGAGAAGTGGTGGAGTCCAGTTATCAAGCAACGTCAAAAACCTTTAAAAGATACAGGAAATCATAAAATACTGATACATCTTTTCACATTATTTATAGTCGATTGAGTTTGTAAGATAAGTTTAACGTTTCTGTGCCTCTAATGGCTCACCCCTGATGTTAAAAGGGCCTTTATAAAGATCCCCAGAGGCCTTTCGGTAATATAACTGTTGTGTTTTCAGTTAAATGTTACAGCAGGTGTTTCAGACTTTTCAGACTCTCATGACAGCTTCTCCGCTCCGTGCAGGCCGAAGCAAAACATGTCATTTCCTGGCGTGCCTCGTACTGCTCCATGTAAGAATGTCTCTCTTTGTGAGGCGTTTTGGTTTGTTTTTTGCTGACGTTCATCTGCTGCTGACTCACTGAACTCCCATCATGGAGGCATTCAGGGCCAGATGGGAGGAAATAAATACGTTCAGTGCGTGAACCTCAACCTTTATGATCAAACACCTTCTGTCCAAGTCCATCTCCAACCCTGTCATTTGACAAAAAGTCACTATTGCTCACGGTTGGGAGGGTTACTTTAAAGGTCTCCTATTATACTGTTTTTCATCAATATATTATAGGTCTCAGATATATACAGAGCCTGTCTCTGATTGGCTGAAACACCAAACAGATCATTGCAGCGTCCCATA